TTGGATTTCATATTCTCAGCCCCTCATGACAAGAAGTTTTGGCAATTATTTATTTTACCATCATCATACCCAAGCAGAATTCTGAGGTCTGAAGAATGCTCTTTAGAAAAAAATTATAGTAAGGACAGACATTATACTCATCATCACTGCATCTTACGCCTCAAGCACTCTCTCCCTCTGTCAACAGCCCACTGCCACTAGTACCCGTGTGACCTCGTAGGAACCCTGTGAATGAATGGAGCAAAGTGTGCATGGCTGAGATCACTCCTCCCCTTATCAGAACTGCATGGTGCCCAGCTCCTACTCAAAGAGCAAAATAACATGGGCTGAGGTTAGGATCTCCCCACCCTCGAGCAGGGATAAGCTTCTCAAAGGAGAAAACAAGAAGGGAAAGTTAAGGCACATTTAAACTTCAGTTTCTGGCTACAAGGCGACGAGGCATGGCTTGACGGGCTGGTGTCAAATTTGTTCCTACCAACTCTTACCCTGCATGCCTGTCTTGTTACAGCAGCTGCAGAACCGATGGCCCCTAACATACCTTCAAGGGCACACGGGGATTAAATAATGCACCAAAGAGGCCCCAACAGGCCCGCCAGCCTTGAATTTTGGAACATGCAGGAAGGGACTCAGATTCTCCAGAGTGACAGGTCCTGTGAGTGATATCACTGACATTCTGGATTTAATTAATTTTTTTAAAGGAAAATCTATTTCAGGCTTGAAAACGTTTACTTTCATTTTACCACATATTTCAGTGTAGAGTTGCACTGGCCAAGGTGGCAGCTGCTCTGTGGCTACTGAGCACTTGAAATGTCACTAGTTTGAGCTGAGACATTCTATAAATGTAAAAAAGTCCCGGGCTTTGACGACTTGGTACAACAGATGATAAACTAGCATGTTAGTAATTTTTATATTAATTACACATTGAGACAACACTTTAGACATATTGGGTTAAATAAAATATAGAATTAAAATTAACATACCTGTTTCTCACAGCTTTTTAATGTGGCTTCTGTAAAATTTAAAATTCTGTATATGGCTTGCATGAGTGGCTTGCATTACATTTCTAACACATAGCAGTGATCTACTGAATGCTTCTCTCTTAGGAACTGCGAAGAGTTTGAGATTCTACCTCACTTGCAGACTAAGAAGCCACCTCGCCACAGTTTCACGTGCTGGTGGAAGATACGAAACTCTTGGGTCAACGACGAAGGAACGGTTTTCACTCACAGCAGCATGCACAGTATCAGCGTTTTTACACAAGTTCACCAAATGCCAGTTACCACAGGTGACGTGGAGAGGTCTGCGTGACACCTGTGCATCCGGTGCCCCGAATTACAGGAGGGGAACTTGGAAGGTAAAGAACTGAGATCTTTTGTAAAGTACAGTAAGCAAACCTGCCATTTGCCCTGGAGGGACACTCTATTTTTATTTTCCAAGGACGTTAACTATACAAAATCCTTGAAAAGGTACTTCAGAGAAATGGGTAGTTGGTGCATTGCTTGCAAGACGCGCAGGAGTGTGAGAGGCTCTTGGAGAATTATGCACCAATGTTCTGTTTCCATTGGCTTCTTTTCCTAGACCATACGTTTCTCTATGTGAATGCTATATTTTTATAGACTAATTTCAAAAACCAGCACTAGCCTCTAACTCACTATAATTGTCTAAATGGTCTGTAATCTCCTTATCGAATTGTACATTATGATAATACCTTAAGCCTCACTTCTCTTTGACAAGGTACCATTTTTCTGAAATCATTACATTGGAATTACTTTCTGGACCATCAGCACTGTTATAGGAAAAGACAACTCCGCTAAGAGAGGCTGATTCTCTGGGCACACACATTTAAGAAACTTCTAGAAGCACTAGCACTTTAAAACTATTTGTTTCCATAGATCGTGACTGGAAGGCTCCTCAAAGTTTTGACTCCAGAGCCTCAGTTCCCATGGCAGCCCACAGGTCCGGACAGGCTCTGCCTCGCGCCCAGGGACACTGCGCCGTCCAAGCAGTTCACCAGCATCAGGGGCGCGGTTTTCCCAGTGCCGCGGTGAGGTGGACCGTTAAGTTCCATGATCCAGATTTGACTGGCTTAATTCACTTGCCCCAGGCATGACCAGTCGAAGTGAATAGTAAGAGATGGGTCCAGCATATGTGGCCTCCATGCTATATGAACACGGCTGGACCATGTCTATTTTGTGCATATAAAATCACCATTCTTTTAAATGCGGTCAGTAAATAACAGCTCATTCTGTAATACCATACTTTTATAGACTGATGCTTATGGACTATTTTTAGTTATTTTAAAAATCATCACTATTTCGCTTTTATTTTTCCCATTTATTTAAATAAGTAACAGATGTACACATAAAACCAAACATGGGGCAAGGGGGGAGTGGGCAATACAGTAAAAAGTGTTCTGCAGGCCTCCTCCGTTGCCCAGCCGCCGAGTCCTTCTCTCGGGAGATGGCCCTCCTGGTTAATTTCCGTGAGTGCCTCCAGAGCTGGACTGTGCATTTGCAAATATGTGCCTTATGTTATGCAATTGACATGCATGCTGCACATACTTTTCCATATCTTTATTTTCTGACTTAGTTATTAATCTTGGGGACTATTTCATCAGTATCCTCAGTGCATTGTTCTTTTAACTGTATTATATTTTATTTAATCAGTTTCCTAGTAGAGGCTTATAGATTGTTTCCAATCTTTGCTACTTATTTACTTATTTAGCCAACACTTACCCAGTGCTTGCCATACGTCAAGCTCTGCTGTGAATATTCTTGTACTTATTTCCATAATATATAAATATGTTTATATAAAATATATGTAAAGCATGGCATCTAACACAGAGTACATGTATTCATTGTAGCTCTGATTAGCATTTTTCTAATTGAGTGAAGTTGAACATCCTTCCAATTGTCCATATCTTTTGTCTGTTTTGTTATTAGGTTACTGACCTTTTATGTATTGATTTATCAGGTGTTTTAAAACTATAAATTATATATAAAGTTTATAATATATATGCTTTTTCTATTATGTGAATTGAAAACATTTTTTTAGTTTGTAGTTTGTCATTTCATTTTATTAGTTTTCTCACTATGTAGATATTTTTATTATTATAGAATCAAATTTATTTTACATGACTTCTGGATTTTGTACTCTACTCAGAAAAGTCCTATTGTAAGATAAGAAACATTATTTCCTGTTTCCTTTCTTGCACTTTATGCTTTCTTTTCTTTACAGTTAAACCACTGATTCATCTGCAAATTATTCTGGTCTCAGGCGAGGCAAGAATTTCACTTTCTTTTTTCCAGATGGCAGTTAGTTAGTTCAATACCATAAAGATGACTTAAGGACAATAGAGTTTAACTTCAGAGTGTTTTATAATTTACTCATAATACGAAGTTTATTTTGCCCAACCTGTATTCTGTGGGAAGGTAAGAGCATGTGTGACCTTTCTCCTCCAGCTTTATATTAGTAATAATGCTTGTGCTTGGAGCCAGGGCATCCCTTGCCTATCTACTTACTGATCAACGTAATCCAGTGCTCACCCATGAAAGGAAGATAGATACTAGGAGACCCGGAGCCAGAGGACCCAGTTCAACTGTGCCGGCGTTCCTAACCCACTGAAACTAAGATATAATAAACATCAGCCCTGGCTGGTGTGGCTCAGTGGATTGAGCGCCAGCCTGTGAACCAAAGGACCACCAGTTCGATTCCCAGTCAGGGCACATGCCTGCGTTGCAGGCCAAGTCCCCTAGTCGGGGGGCACACGAGATGCAACCACACATTGACGTGTCTCTCCCTCTCTCTCTCCCTTCCCCTCTCTAAAAATAAATAAATAAAATCTTTTTTTTTTAAAAAGTATTATTAAAAATAAATAAATGTCATTTAAGCCACTCAGTTTTGGAGAAGTAATATTTACATAGCAATGGGTACTACAATGAGTATACAAAGGTTGGAAGGTCCATGCCAGAGTGAGAGCCAATGGCAGTTCTTTTTGCTCAGTGAAGAAGGGGGCAAGGTCATCTGCTGAGAGTGAGGGTGCAGCAAGAGGTAACAGTGGTGGAGGGGAACAAGAAGGTATAAAATAATTAGAAGCATGGAGAGTTAATAGACCAGGGAACTATAGTATGATTGACAGGTATCATTTGAGGCTGGAATAAGTGGTCATGAATGTAAGATGAGAACAGTCAGCCTGGCTGTGTAATTATCAGTGGGTGCTCAGAGGTTAGGCTGTATTCTGAACTAGGGTTTTGCCAGACAAGCATATAAAGAAAAAGGAGGCAAGCGAACTGAGGGTATACATAAAGGAATGACTATTATGACATACCATGGACTGTGGGCTAAACAAAAAGTTAAAGAAAGAAAAAGTAAAGGCAAGTAAAGGTGCGGAGATTTGAGAGGGGTTTGAATCACATCTGTTACAATTATAGTAACTGAGCAAACATGCAAATACTGTATAATGGAGGGATGAACAAAGAGAGCTTAATTCTTTCTGTAGTTTTAAAGGAGGTTTCCCAGATAAGGAGATTTTTGAGCAGGACCCCAGTGTTATAAAAATGTGCCATTCTTATTTGGATCTCTTCTTTTTGAATACTCTTCCCATACTCAGTTTCCCTATCTTTAAAAACAGGGACTACCCCCACTTTATAAGTCTATGACTCCTTAGGATAGAGTCCAAAACCCCCTTTCCAGCCTCTCTTGCAGCTACAGAGCAGACATGTTACCTAGGCTCTGCCAGTCCAATATACCCATGAATGACCTGACTTGGAAACTCACAAAGTAAGTAACGCACTGATGTGGCTAGTCTTGATGAGAGCAGTGGTAGACACCCAGCTTCCAATAAGCTGCAAGAGAGGGTCTTGCACCTCTTAGTTTCAAAGCTGGAAGTTGTGCTATCTGTATCCCACGGATGCAGTGTGGTCTACCTGGACCAACCCTGTAGAGTGGCCTTCAAGTCGGGTGCTCTGGGCCTTCCAAAACTTCTGTGAAATAGGTTGCTCAGCAGGCCCGGCCTGGCTTTGGGCCCCTGGCCTCCTAGCTGGGGACTCTGTGCCTGCGCCCGTCAGGCCGCGGCCCGCTCCCCTGGCGCGGCAGTGGTCCCAGCTGCCACGCGCCGCCTGGGTGTCTGGGTGATCCATGGGCAGCAGCGAGGGCCACGATGACAGATTACAGCGGGGAGCAGCGCAACGAGCTGGAGGCTCTGGAGTCTATCTATCCGGACTCCTTCACAGTATTATCAGAAAATCCTCCCAGCTTCACCATTACCGTGACATCTGAGGCTGGAGAAAATGATGAAACTGTCCAGACTACCCTCAAGTTTACACACAGTGAGAAACATCCAGATGAAACCCCTCTTTATGAAATATTCTCCCCAGAAAATCTAGAAGACAATGATGTCTCAAGTATTTTAAAATTGTTAGCATTACAAGCAGAAGAAAACCTTGGTATGGTGATGATCTTTACTTTACAGACAGCTGTGCAAGAAAAATTAAATGAAATAGTGGATCAAATAAAAACCAGAAGAGAAGAGGAAAAGAAACAAAAAGAAGAAGCTGAAAAGCAATTATTTCATGGCACTCCTGTTACGATTGAGAATTTCTTAAATTGGAAAGCCAAGTTTGATGCAGAACTCTTGGAAATTAAAAAGAAACGAATGAAAGAAGAACAAGCAGGAAAAAATAAATTAAGTGGGAAACAGCTATTTGAAACAGATCATAATCTTGACACATCTGATATCCAGTTCTTAGAGGATGCTGGGAACAATGTGGAGGTAGGTGAGTCTTTGTTCCAGGAAATGGATGACTTGGAGCCGGAAGACGATGAGGATGATCCAGACTACGACCCTGCCGACCCAGAGAGCGACCTGACCGACTGATGGGCCATCCCCCTCTGCAGAGAGGCTTGACTGCCGCAGCCTCTGTGGCTATGCTAAGAGGGTGTTGATTTTCCTCTCTTTTTTCTAAGAAAAAATAATTTTCAGGAGAATAGTCTTCTGAAAGCTTCATCAATGAACTTAATAAAACTGACCTTAAAAGTTCAAATATAAAATGTTCAGTTCCTCTTACTGGTGGGAAGAAGGTCACATATTTAAAATGATTCAGTGGTGGAGAGAGCCGCCTGTAACCTCAGACTTGGAGATGAATGGAGCTCAGGTGTGGGTGTGTGCAAGTAATCAGAATAACTCGGAATTTCTGTGCTGGAGACGATGGTAGCTTTTGGATTCTAAGTGCTGTCATTCATATAAAATATTATATGACTGAGGTGAATAGAGCATAAAACTTTTTGAATTCTAGCCTGTGGGCATGATAAGTTTAAGTCTTTACAAAACGAGAAGTTCATGTAATAGTCAGAAATAAAATAGATTTTAGTCTTATAGTAGTATTTGAATCAGAACAATCTGTGGGAGTTATTAAAGTGTATACTTGGCCCTTCTCAGTTTAGGTTAATAAACACTGAGCATCAATCTGAATATTAAAACAGTAAAATCTCAAAAAAAAAAAAAAAAAAAACTTCTGTGAAATACCTGATATCCTTTACAGATTACCTGTCTACTAAAACAAAACAAGCATGGTTTCTCTTATTTGCAACCAAAACCTGAATATGATTTTTAAAAAGAAAAAAGATTTGTACAAGCAGAGAATTATGGCCCAGGAATTCCCACATCGGGGAACAGCACAAATGCAGGGATGCAAGTGCAAAAACCCAGACTGTGTTGTTAGAAATATTTGCGGATTGGTGTAGCTGAGGAAGAAAGGAACTCACCTAAGCATTGGATGGTTCACTCAGGTTCCTGGCAAAGAGGAACACTACGAAGCTGAAGCCACACTCTGTGGAACCGAGGCGTATGTCAGAATCGGATACTAGCTACAATGAGGGAAAGAAAAGTGGCGTGAACAGATTTTGTGGCCTCACACTGGATGGGGTTGTTAAGTAAATTTAGAGCAATAATGAGCTAGCTGGAAGATGAAGGTAGAGGGTCAGCAAAGGACATTGGGAAAGGACTGGGCTTCATCACACTGTAGATCTCGGTTTCAATTCTGTGACCACTTATTACCTGTGACCTCCTATATACTTTATTTAACCTTCTAAGCCTCACTTTCCTTATCTTTGAAAACAGGGATGATAAAACTTACAGTCCTAGCCTTATCAGTGTCAACAGATCAGGGGCACACCTATAGCCCACAAAAGTAGATTTATTGATCCATTGCAAAGAGGGAAACCACACATCAGAGAACCATGGGATATCTCACCAAACGATGGGAAAGATAGATTTATCATAGGGTTATGGGGAAGGATAGAGTTAAGCACAATTTAACTGAAGTAGTAGTCTGAAAGACTCAAAGAAGTCAGCCCCAAGTCAGGGCTACAAAGTGGATCCAGGGCCCTGTTTCCTTGGAAACTACAAAGTTAGGACGGATGTGAAATGCGGAGTCCAGACAGTTTGTAGCCCACGCTCTGCCCCGGGCTGGGAACCCGGACTGCCTCTCTGTTTCAAAGTAACTTAGATCTTCTGCACAAGAGGCAGATGTGTTATTCGTAGCCAGTCTCACTTCAAACAGCAAAGCTCCTCAGTAAGAAAGCAGCAGTCACTCAAAGAAAGAAGTTATTATGACACTGTGAGGCAGGTTCTTGGGAGAAATATTGTTTTCTGTTAACTGTGCAACTAGCATTATCTGTGTCTTTTATTCCAGTCAGATGAAAGGCAGGGCCAATTTTTACCATCCAAGTTATTTTTATTTTCTCAGTCTCACCTTTTGGCCAAGGAATGACAAGATCAGCCTGAACAACTTTACATTATTCTGTGAAATCAAGACCTCCATCGCCATTATCCAGGTTGCACTGACTATGTGGCCGTCTGGAGAGGAAGACTAAAGTCAACCCTTGATACTTTTTCATTGTAAGATGAGCTGTTGGGTCATTTGATATGACAGTGGCTTTGTGGTAGCACTTAAGACTCTGTAGATCACATGGGAAGCAGTGTAACACAGGAAAATACAAAGAGAATACTTAATCAAAGTTTGTATTGTACTTGATCTTGAGGTCACACAGGCTAACATCGTACATAATCAGTGTAACAATGTTAGTCATACAAAGGTTGTCATGAGGACTTGTTTGTATCTGAATATTCACTTTCTTTCATGGTTAGGTATCATAGATATAACTTGGAGTGAGTGAAACACCCGTTGTGTGCTGTGCCTATTGAAATTCTTCCAGCCAACTGAAGTCTAAATATGCATTTATTTTTCCAAGAATAAGTGCAATCATAATTAATGTGATTACATGGGCGTATACAACAGTTTACCAAGTTGTACAAAGAAGATTAATATACTTTGCTCGTGTCACTCAATTTAAAAGGTTTTTAAAAAAGAACAAGAGAGTCATTAAAAATAAATTCCTTGCCTGAATTTCTACAGCATTTTATTGCAAGAATAAGATGCAGCAAAAGATTTATTGTGAGACTAACTGTGGAAATGTATGTGCCTCTGAAAGTTCTTAACTGTTTGTGATCACGAAAGTACAGTCGAAAACATTCAAAGATAAGTAAATAAGGAAATAGGTTGCCAGTACATTGAAATCGTAGGAGAGTATGATAGCTAGCTAAGTAATGGAGTTATGATTTGGACTTAAATTGTCTGATTCCACAGCCTGTGTTCAACCACTAAGTTTATTAAATGAATACAAAATATGTAATAGTTAACTCCTAGTTGACTGTGAATGTCTTACACATAGTCAGCCTTTAGGAAAAGTTGAATTGCCAGTGCAATGGGTGTAAGATATTAGCCCCAATTTATTAGAAGGGGAAAAAATGTTGAGATCTTACATTCAGTGAAGAAAATCTGAAAGGGAAGCTTAACAATTTCTCAAGGCTTTTATGATCCCCAAAGGAAGAAATAACTGAAAGAAAAGAAGCGTGCCCTTAAATATTTGAAGGTTCCCCAAATGCCAACTCAGGAAATACTATACCCCAGCCTGCAGCTGGGTCACAACACATGTCTGCTCCTGTGGGGACACATTCTTGTGGTCAGGAAGAGGCAGCATTTCGAGTCACTAAGTGCCTTTTTTGCTGAATCTAAAGTTGAGGAGGTACATTTTTCCTTATTGGCATTCTTTACATTCTATTAAAGCGTTTAGAGTCAGGCAGAGTAAATTAAATATCCTCAGACCCACATCCCATCTGCTACTAGGAGAGGATGACCACTGTCCACCGCAGGCCAGCCTTCTCCATTGCCATGCGTCCAGGACGTAAGGATTCTGAAGCTGGACTCATTGCTGACTAGAAGCTCTACTCAAGTTTTCACCAGTGATGCTATATCCCTTAAAGTTTCTCATAATGAATGTTTTTGGAACAAAGGCTCAACTGCTCACAGTCTTTACAGTGTCACTCACCATTTCATCAGGTGGCCCATGGAGCCATGCTAGCTCTTCTACAGAAAAAGGTCCCTGAGCCACAGGGCCTGTCTTCTAGACCAGAGGAGAGCAGCCCCTCAGGGTGGCGTGTGGACTTGTCTTTCACCCCTATCACAGATGCTGCAGGGCAGGCAAAAAGGACTGGTTGAATTCTGCCTAAGTTGAAGTATCAACCCCCACTAGAGGGTGCTGCGGAGTGAGGTGGTAGCTGTCCTTCACAAGACAGGGTCTCAGACCCCAAACAACACGCCTGTCCTCAAGTTAACTTCAAAGCAGAGGAAAGGGGTAGAGTGAGTCCATCTCACCACTATCACTTGTGGACCCTGGGCAAGAGAACAGATGCAGGTCTGCGCATGCTCTTACCATTTTAACCAGGAGTGTGAAATTGTGAGACATCGTCTGACGTATTCAATCGACGTTGTTGGTGAGAATAATTTTCCTGCTCAACTTAATTGTTTTGATCAGTAATTAGAGAATTTTCCACCTTTAAAAATGGCTACGTTGAAAGAAACAAACAATTATAAAACCCACCTCATAATATCAAGTGCTGGCAAGGACACGGAGCAAGCAGAACTTGCTGGCGGACGTGCAAAAGGAGCAGCTTCTTACACAGTTAAACATATACTTACTATATGGCCTAGCAAACCACTCCTAGGTACTTATCCAAGAAAAATGAAAACTTATATCCACACAAAGACCAGTATAAGGATTATAGTGGCTTTATTTATAATCTCCCCAAACTAGGAACAACCCAAAAGTTCATTAACTAGTGCATGGATAAACAAATTGTAGAACCTCCGTATAATGGAATAATAACCAGTAATAAAGAGGAAGTATCTAAGGATACTTGCAACAACTTGAATGAGTTAATGTGCTAAGTCAAAAAGCCAGGCACAAAAGATTATATACTGTAGGAATTCCATTTACATGACATTCTGAAAAATACAAAATCATAGCAATAGAAATCAGATTAAAGATTCCCAGGGGCTGGGACAGGGTGAGGGGGTTCGGGGACGGACTATGCAAAAGCGCACGTGAAACTTTCTGGGTAGATAGAAATACTCTCTATCTTCATTGGGGTAGTGATTAGTAATTATACTATTACATAATAGTATACATGTCAAAACACATAAAACTGAACACCTCAAAAGAGTGGCTGTTCCTATATATAAATTATACCTTAAAAATCAGACTTTAAAAGAATGTTTAGTGTTCTATTTGCAAATTTTATGTGAATCATATCCAAAGAAACCTGCTTACTTTCCTTTTAAATGCTTTTAAAATTTTTAAGAAGACTGCTTCTTTGAAGATTTACTTTTTATTTTGTAGCCTCTTCTCTTTTCTGAACTCTTTGGTATTTTCAATTTTTATTACAATTGCAAATTTCACTAATTCTTAATAATTTAAAGGAATACCAAATTTTAAAATATTGAAAGTCTACAAAATTTAAACAGGTTTATCAAATTC